GCCCAAGAAAAAACACAGTCCTACCATGTATTTATTAAACCGAGACATTGTTTGCCTGTGGGCCAAGCTACATCGAATGCAACGTGGTCTATTGCAAACGGAGAGTGTTTTATCTATTATACATTTAATTTGAATGGCATCTTATTTTGTTGAAATTGTTGCATAGGAGTAAAGGTGACAGCAGTGAGCAGCAGAGAGAGAGGGGAGGTCGTGATCAAAGGAATGATTCTGCAGAAGAGAGAAGGAGATTGGACTCAGACAGAGTGAGTGCAAGCTCATTGTTTTCTTTTGCAAGTGATCAGCTAGTGATTCACATTATCAAAAGTTTGTTCAGGAACTTCTCAGTTGTATTTTAATTTGTAATGTAACAAATTTCTTTTGTTTTGGGGGACAATTGATTGAATGGCATGAATGGGGACGACAGCTTCCAAAATCATCTCAGAAAGTGACGAACACCTGTTTTCATCTAGGTAAAAATTTCTACAGTTGACAATTCACAAGAATTATGGACATTTCACACAGTGCTACTCAGGCAATCACGACGGCAAATGGCCAACAATGTCCGGGTGTCGCGTGGTAAGCGTGCGTGATGCATCCAGACCAGCGAGCGATAAACCTTGTGCCACCTCAGGAAATTTGTTGAAACACACTTGCTTCAAGTACAAGCAAAACAACCTCAAATTAAACTCATGATCACAGAAAGTATGTACATAAATAAGAAACCAAGTTCTGTGAATTAACTTGCAGAAATCCTCTTGCAACATGGATGCTTTTTTCAATCCAGCAGCTTTAGGGTTGGATGCGATATGCGTGTACGGTATAGAGTAATCGATCAAAATGTACAGTACATGTTTATACTGGTTCTGGTTGCTACATTTCCATCCCGCATTCTCTTGCATGGGCGTGGTGCGGTGGGAACCATAGCAGCTTCGTTTTATGCATTGAGCTTTGCACATGTGTTTTCACCACTGCGACAGCAAACGTGAATAGGAATTGTTCGTGAAAGGTGGAAATTGATACCACTATGACATTTCGGTGACGAACAAGTGGTAAGGTTTTTCTAAATTTGCAATATATTGGCCAATTTTTCTCACCAGGTCAATGGAATAGCCAAATTATAACTATTCGCCAATTGGTGAGAATGGCGAACAGCAGCTGGAACCCTGTACAGATCTGATCTTTCACATCAGATGGGCTGCTGAAGAAAGCATCGATTTTAGAAGAAAGTTTGACCTTTTTGATTTCACAGTGACATTTGTAGTTTGTTCACACCTCAAACATAGCAATCACCTCCATTCTATTGAGCAGGATCAAGTGCATGGAAAAGCTGAAGGATACATCCAAATCTGATTACCGTAATTTTTGCAATGTAAGTCATGGCTTATACATTGATTCTCATGCTGAAAAATGTCCCTGCAGCTTATACTCTAGGCGGCTTATACGGCATTACTTGAAGAATAAAATCAGTCACAAACCTCACGCTGTGCCTCAGTGTAGCCTAGCCTGGACCATTGGCTGGCTGGTCAGCCATGGGTGCAAGTTACGCGGCACTCCAGGGACAAGGCAGTTATGTCATTGTTGGTTGCGGTTTACATTCTCTATACTCACATGTTCAAAATAAAGGAACCCAGTCTAGGGGGACTGAATAGACTTGTAATTGTACCTTAGGTACCGTTCACATCTTGTTCGACCCTTGTTTGTGCCCTGCTTATACTTGCTTGAAGATTGCGTGTAATAAAGGTAATAGTACCACTATGTAACCGAGTGGGTTTGAAGTTTTTCAACAAAGAGGTTTGGCAGCACTAACTTGGAAGTGTGTCATGTAATACCCTACATCTACTGGTGCTTCAGCATGTACCGTACATGTAGCATGTAGTACATCTGATGACTACCTGGTTGGACATTGTCAGAATTGCGATGTGGTTTATATGCCAGTGCGGCTAACACTACTACTGGTACTAAATCTCATGCCATGACGGCATTGAGTCAAGTTGATCCACTGACTGCCTCCAGCTTGCACAGTCTTGAGTGAGTGCCAGGGCATCCTCCAGCTGGAGATCCATCTGATGTAGGTCTTGCTAGATGACATCCTTCCAGCGGCTGCGAGGGCAATTGTGAGGATGCTTCCAGCCAAAGTTGGGTCAAACACGAAAATTGCTCTGGTAGGATGGTCGGCAGGACGACGAAGAATGTGGCCAAGCCACCTGACTGCCCTGGGTGATGACACAGAGCACATGGTCTTGTCAGTGCAACCCTTCGATGGTCCTGAAGGCATGGGACTCAAAACTCTGTACGAGGGCCACTAGGGTCTTGGTTGGGGGCTTCGTCTTGGCCCCATACAATACCATGGACAGGACAGTGGCGTTTTACACACACAGTTCTGTGTGGCGAGAGATGTCACATCATGTCCACAGAGGTCTCCACATGCTCTGCATGACATCAGTGGCTAGTCCTTGTCATCTGTTGACCTCCGTCATGAGGTTACCAGTGTTGGTGACCTCAGATCCCAGGTAGACGAAGGTCATGAAAACATTGACTGTCTCAACTCTGTGGGTGTGTTGATGATGGATGGTTGTGTGGGGCTGTTGCTGACATACATCAGTTTGGTTTTTAACCAGTTGACTCAGAGACCAAGCTTAGTCGTCTCCTAGTCAAGCACGAGGAGGGTGCCCTCCATCTCAGCACGGGAATGACAGAAGAATGTCATGTCGTCAGCGTAGTCAAGGTCTTTCAGGTGGTACCAATCAAGCCGTACCCCTGGGAAACTTATGCAAACTGTATCCATGAATTAGGAAAAAGGTATAGAAAATGAATTAGTTACATCAAAATTGGTGTTAAAGTGATCCAGTTGAATGCTTTTGTTACAATGCATCTTCCCATGCTCTGTAAAACATCGGCTTGTAAGCATTTTTTGGTGTCACCCCTCTGCAGGATGATTATAGAGACAGACAGAGAGATAGACCAGGTACATCGGGTACCCCATCCCCTAGCCAGATGCAGCAACAGCCCCCAGGTGGCAGGATGGGCCTTCCCATCCAGGGACCAGGTGGACAGATGCATCCCAGTATGATGCCACAGGTATGAGAAAGGGCCAGCCATTAATCCATTGAAAATCCTTAGCAGGGTTTGTTGGGGGGTTTTCAGTATCTTGCACATTGAACTTCTGCAAATACTTGCTCTGTGCATTGGAACTGTGTATTTAAATACTTGATTGATGTCTGGAACTCATTCCATTACTATGGAACCAGGAACCTTGACTACCTACACAGATGACTTAGAAATTCTGAGGACAAACAAAATGAAAAATTAAAAAGTCTTTGCAGGAGAAGTTTAGAAACAAGCCAAGCTACGTGGATTGCTGACACATGAGTATTTTGGGTAAGACAGAATTGGCAATTGGAATGAATTTTTTGTTACTAGTTTTTCGTTCTTAAATTGTAGGGTTAGGTTCTCTGATGGGTATTATTCCCATACTATCCATAAATGCACACCACAAGTACTTATTTTAAATGGTTAAATTGATACCCAGTATGTTTGTGTTTTTCAAAGCTTCACCTATGTAAATTTTACAAGTACACAAATTTTGGAAACAAATCACCCTTTTCTGTCAAATGTTTGTAATGGCTTACACTATTATTTCACCTATTTAGTATTCATGCATCATTCAGTATATATATGATTTTAATATTACCTTGTCATGGTGCCAAAATTGATATATATTGCATATCCTAGTGCTAAATTCCATCATTAGTGATTCATTGTGGAACTTTCTGCTGTGTTAACCTCTTCGCTCCGGGACGCGGGTAGAGCCGCTGTAAAAATTGAGATCCTCTGCCCGCTTTTTAGCTGTTATTCCCAGCCCACGCTTGAGCGGACATGGTGAAAGAAGGCAAACCCTGGCTTTTGTATAAGTGGTGATTGGCCTTTGTGTGTAGCCCAGAAATGAAAAGACCGAATTTGCATCATAATCACCAGCTTCACAATAGTCCCCACTTTGAAAAGAGGCAACGGGAATGTAGAGCGTGAGTAGAGCCACATGCCACCGAACAATCAGCCTTTTCACCGTGTAATTCAAAGCGTGCAGAGCACGCAGGGCCACAAACCGAGAATTTGTGGTTTGGCAGGTGGCCTTTGTGACCAAGCGAGGCTGGAATTCTTGGAGTTGGCTTTCGGGAAGAAATTCCCGTCGTCAAGGGGTTAAATTCAATTAGGCTATCCAGCTTTCGAAAGCTAGGTAATTGGATGGTTTTTAAATTCTGCACTGATAAAGCAAGAGGTTTTTGAATTCAAGTCCCTCCCAAACAAATGTAAACTTTCCCCAGTCGTTCATAAAAAGTACTCAGTATATCCTAGTGATCATCAATACTTGAAAGGCTTTCATGTTTACATTTAGTAGTTGAAGGGAAACCAGGTGCCCTAGTGAACTTAGCCTTTCGTCAAGGCCTTTGTGGCTATGTGTGTGTAACCACAAAGGGACTGGAGAGGAGACCACATACACGAGCGGCTCAGCACGAGGGCCTTTTCCAACTTGTCAGGAATTTCTTACGTTTTTCATAAGTGAGGGGGTCAGCATACATTAACCTTTATGCAAATTGAAAGTATATGAAAGATGGCGAGCATGTCAATGGTGTCGGCAGCCGTGAGTGCAGGTCAGTTGTCTGAGCAGTATTTGGACAGTTTTCAGAATATGCTGTTGGATAATTTTACCTTGCCAAGTTTAAACCATTGCATCGTTGGGCTATTCAAGAATCTGTACGCCGGCGCGACATTTTCGTCTTTATGCATGGAATATGGTAAGAGCTCCATGTTTCAAGCACTACCGTTTTGCTTGACCATTCGACCTTGATGAACTGCTACTTGCTAGTGTTACTCCAACGTCAGAACCATCTACCAACAAGCGCCATAGTTGTCATCTCACCGCTTGTTGCCCTCATGAAAAATCAGATGGAAACATTGCGTAAGCTTTGGAATTGATGCCGTTTATTTCGGAGACTCATCTGCTTCAACTATTAACATGAAATTTATGAAGAAGGCTTATGAATAATTAAAAAAAACCTCAAAATCACGTTGGAAAAGGCCTCGTATCTGCGCCACCCGCCTGGTCTCCTGTCCAATCGCTTTGCAGTTACACATAAACACAGCCATGAAAGCCTTGACGAAAGGCTATAGTGAACTTAAATGTAGGTACCCATGGACAAAACGTATTTACATAGATACTAAAAAAAAGGGTAAACGCATACATGAAAAATGCATTCAAATTGCCAGTTTTATCATAAATCAAACACCACAACCTTTGGACACAAATGTAGCATGAGCTGGTTATAATACCAGGTCCCATAATATAGAACTGTTTTCTGACATAAGTGGTCTGATATTCAGCTAGCTGGCTCCACGCACAACTCTATTTTGGTCACTTCAGACCTTCCCATGTCAAACTGTTGCCATGTTATTTTTATTCAGGGGTAAGATTCTTCCAGATATTTCTAAAATCTGGTGTTGGTTTATGGATTTTTGTGGTTTAATACTTTTGGTGAAATTATATGTGAATAATATTGCACAAGTTGGCAAAGTCTAGTACAGGCAATCAAGAAGTACACAAATGGATGTTACTGCTGAAATACTGTGGTATGCACAGTGGGTGTGTTGGGGTAGTGGTAGAGAAGTAATGGCAGAATGGGGGTATATTGCGTTTTCCCACACATACAGGAATGTGTGCAGTGGGTCCAGAGCAGAAGTATGAAACAAACCAGTAACATATGCCATGTGTCATGCACATTTTATTGCAGCAAAAGATGGATGCCATTTTGAGTTGTGTACATACGTGAGGTGAATTCTGTGTAGCTTTCTACAGAAATATCAGTTGATTTGGGGGATGTTTCACAGGATGTACCCGACTCTCGATAATTAGGCATAATATCAAATAATTGACCGAAATGGGACCTGTCTGTCGATAAAGGCACCAGAAATCTGTGGAGGTTTGCATGGATGGAGACAGAGATGGATTGTGAACATGGTGAAGTGACTAAAGCAGAAAGGGAAGACTATAGATATATGTACATGTACAGTAATACTAACTGAACTTTGTGGATTTTTCGTTGTGGTCTGTCATCACCTTTTCTTATTGATTGATTTTCAAGGGCTGGAATCGTGGAGAACAGCCACCATTTGATCAGAGAGGACCACCTCCACCCCAAGGTCAATACGGCAGAATGCCCCCACAGGGTCCTCACTACCAACAACCCCCATCACTTGGCCCATCACCTCCCATTGGCCCGCAACAGGTATGCTTTGGTTTTTTGAGATCTCATGTGGGCCTGTTTACAGTTTCAGCTGTGCATGCTCGCTGTGAAATTCACCTGCCTTCTCTTGAGAAACAGTGTTGTAGGAGCCTATACAAAGTTGAAAAACTCAGACTTTGGACTTTGCCTAATTTTACTTTGTTCTACACATGAACTTGGGTTCTGTAACCTATGTATTCAGTTGCATTAACAAATGGAGATACTGATTTATTAATCAGTACTTCCTATAAAAAAACTTGTCTGCACGCACCTGCTGTGCTAATCAAACAGTGAATAATGATAAATATCGATCTGCTGGAGCTTAGTTGAAATACCAGCCTAACTTCCAGCCATCAGGTTATCAGTCTGTTCTGTTTCTCTTGAACTCCCTTGTCTCTTGTCCCTTCATAATTTTCTTGATTTGTCAAACTACTCTGTTTTCTGCAGTTGTTACTCAAATGCTCGGAAAAAAATTCCCATTTTTATTTCCCTTCAAAGTATGGACTCTTATAGGAACTAAAGCACCGTCATCATGTACTAGGTTATGTCAAAGATAGATGGTATGTAGATGTAAGGGGGCGTACCAGTAAGGCCTTATCATTCTTCCATGTAAAGTCCACTTTTTAAGGGCAAGTCTGTCGGTAAGGGGCCGGAAAGTTTGCGAACTGCACGCCGTGTGCACTCGAGCATGCAGGGGGTTAATGAGCTGGCCTGGCTGGGTGCTATTGTTGCAGAGGAACTACGTCATGAGACACGGAGACATATTTACATACTGTGCTCTTTCCGCGGACAGGACGATGTTGGAATAAAATGATGGACTTGGAGAAGCATTCACATATTACGTTCTTTCATTGGATGTTAACGTGTTGAAATGCAGTTTTGACTTCAAGAAGCTTCAGCTGCGAATTTTGTGCAGTGGGTGTTTAGTTTGAAAATTCACAGTGCAAATTCGGCACCAACTTACCTTAAAAAAATCATGTTCATGTTTGCGCCGATTATTTGAGACTTGGCAAATGTTGAACATGTTTGCCCCCAGGCAAATTTTACAGCAGCAAATGCTTTATGGCATCATTATCGATGTGAACCTGGCATTAAAGGAACCTGGCATTAAAGGAACCTGTATTACGGTCCATTATTCTACCTTTGCCTGAATTTTGAGTTGTACTTCATCATGCAAATGCGATGTGAAGTAAAATAACTTCACAAAACCTTGAGCGCAAAATTGTGCCCTGCCCTTATTGAGCACATGAGTTGATCACCTGAATGTTAATGAGTTTGCAAACATGCATAATGCATGTCGACGTACGAGGTGCGTCCTGGATGGTCAGTCATGTTCACATGACTTACACTCGTCCATTTTCTTCAAGGGGGCCATGAAACCCTATTTCTATATAAACAAGGTCGGGAAGGCTTATAACAAATGAAATATTTTTAAATCACTTTGCACAGAAAGGAATTATTACTACATGCAAACAAAACTTGTTTATTTTACAAATTTTTTTAACATTAAAAATTAAATACAGAAAACAATAAATGATATTTATATTGGTGAATGAATTCAACTGGGTACTGCACAGTTCTACAAATCAGCCTTTTGATTGCAGAGGAATTACAGGGAACAGTTTGGAATTACACAGCACAAAATTAAATGCTGATTTGTAAAATAAAATTTCTGACAAATAAAGAAGACACTATCACAGTGTGTACATTCATTGCAAATCCTTTTTTAATCTCCTAGACATGCATAAATAAGCAACAATTCCAAAGCTTAAAGCACAAATGCATGGCCCCGCTCATGAATAAAAATATCTTCAAGTAAGTAAGATCATGTTTGAGCCATGCTCTGTGCAATCATGTCCAGATATCGGACTAGTCGTGGCTGTGATGCACTTGCACTTGGCCCACATGACTGGACTAGTCCATACCATAGAGAAAAGAGACAAGGTAGTGGTCGCTCATGATTGTCAAGTTGTGTAGTGTGTACGAACTGACTAGCCAAGCTTGGTGTGTACAAACTGAACAATAATGACATGGGCAGGGTACATTGCCAGCGTGTGGCTGCTCTGAACAGGCGGTCATGAGTGCATGTTGTGCACATCTCATCTGGCACTGCGCTGCATGCTCTGCTGGGCTTGGCGGGTACTCCATCCACTGTATAGTTGTGGGCACGTACATTCGACTAGTTGCACGGGTCTACTATAATCACTGAACCACCCAATCATTGACTTCAGGAGTTCCAAATTCAGATTATAGCATAATGGTAGACCCTTAATAAACATGCCGTTCTGTATCGCGGTTTGGCCGGGCTTTCCGCTACACAGAGGTCTTTGAATCAGCCGTTCCAATCGCAGACTTTCCAGTTGACATTGATATTAAATGACCTGACCTAAATTTGTGTTGGGCGTTCTGAACACGGAGCGAATGGAATATTCATGTTTGCAGATTAACATTGTCGCGTGCGGTTTCCATCATCAAGTGCTCTTTCGTTAAAAAAAGTTTGCGAACTCTAGCAGACTTCCCCAGGAAGAATGGTAAGGCCTTACTGGTAAACCCCCTGATGCTAACAATTAGAATTCAACAAGATTCTGTTGCTCTGTAGGGTGCTAAACCACCTATCGATGAAGAAGAGGACCTCTGGCGCCAACAACGTCAAAAACAATCAGATGAGATGACCAAGAACCTTGAGCGTGCCCGGCAACGCCGCATGCTCAAGGAGCAAGAGGAGCAACAGTTGGATCAAGAGCGTAAAGCAGCTGCCCATGAGAAGCTGCGCAAGTTGGAGGAGCGCATGGGGGAACGGCCCAAGCGGGACTCGGAGGCTGAGGGTAGTGGTGCCACTGCTGCTGGCAGTGGGGAGGAGAGAGGCAGTGAGCTTGTGTTGCCCGCAAGAGATGGAGGGAAGAGACAGCGAACAGAAAGTGGTAGCAGTGATGGGTCTGGGCCCAGACAAAGCAGAGATGGACGAGGTGGGCCTTCTTAAGCTTCTATGCATCTTTTTAAACCTTACAATTGTGCTTGGCACCTTATCAAGACCGTTGCCTTGACAATCTTTTTGTATCAATTGATTTGCTTTATCATTACCAGTTGCATGTTCATGTACTCTGTATTAAACTTTGTTTATGTGGCAAATAAAATCTGTCCTTCATGAAGTAGCACTTTGAATTTCAATGTTTCCTCTGTTCTAGATCTTTTTTCAAACGTAAGGTAACCTCTGCATCTCTGTCACTTGGCACAGCCATGTATATTTTTCACCAAATCGTTACTTGATCAGAGACCACTTTTACACTGGTATTTTCCTTCCACCTACTATTGAATAATGAACCTATTTCTAATGAGTTGGGTTACCTGCTATACCCTATGTCCACAGCTCTTGAGACGTCAATTGAACAGCAGGGAAATCTTAACCCTAACAGTCCTCAATCCTCCAACAGGTGAAGGATTGAGGACTGTTAGGTTTAATGTGTAAATCCTGAAAATAATGCTGCTCTCTTCATGATCAATTCTACGCTTTCCTTCACTCCCTCCAAAATGAATGGAGCATGGTAAAATTGGCCTCATTCCCAAGATGGCCTTGTTGAATTGAAAAAAAAGTTAACTTTTGACAACCTAAGAATAAAAATGAAAGCTGTGAAATAAATGTTCAATTTAACTAAATGTCATTGTGTTTATGAATAATTTAAAATTATGATTTGTTATATACAAATTTTTTGTGAATATTACTTAGATATGTGACAAAAAGTTGGGAAAGTAGAAAGCAGCAAATTAACCAAAGTTTAATGCTGAAATTCAAATTTGCTAAAAGGAGCTTACCAGCGTTCACAAAGGAACATACCACCAAGGTTCCTCAAACAACAGCAGCAACAGAAGTCCTACCCACAGCAGCTGCCTCCGCCTCATGACCAGCAAGTGAGACGTTATCCCTCCTATCCACCACAGCAGGTATGGCTGGAAGAAAATTGATGGCTGACTTAAAGACTGTGTATAGGATATGCAAGATCTCAAAAATTGGACTGTCGAAGTACAAGTTTCTTGAAATTTCTCACTGTAAAGTACATAAGAGTGTCAGACAATCTGTGAAATGTTACCACCAGGAATGCTTTCATTTTCGACAAATTCTCAGCATTGCATTGTTAGGAAACACAAACTTGGAAGGTAATTTGCCAACCACTATTACTGCACAAAAAGCCATGGATAAAATGCATTTTTAAGGGTCACAATTGGTCTGCAGATCGACCATGCATGTGCAATATCCAGGCACTCAGGAACATCCTGTGGCTCATGGATTTCTGCGAGACAAATTACATGAGCTGGCCTCTGAGTATTAAATATGAACAGTGATTTTCTTGATTTCCCTCAAAGCAGTAAACACAAAACATGAAACAGGTTTTTGCGGTTTTTCAAGTTACTGAAAGGTGGTGGATATCCATATCTCTTTATTCATATTCAAATTACCGATACCCCTGCAATGCAGCCGGCAGGTAATCTGCCGAACATCAGCTGTATTAACAAGTTGCTAATTTACATGAGCCCTGCATATTGTGTACCATATGCAAACTAGCCTGGTGAGCATGCTCATGCAAAACACGCAGAATGTCAGTGTCTTTGAACGTGTTGTCAGCTCTGGTATTTGCCTTTTTACTGTCATGGCAGTTTGAAAAGGAGCACCGGTCTGGTGCCCCATCCCCCCCTCATCCATACCCATCCCAAAGGGAGTCTGGCGACCCCCGGGAGATTCGACGAGATGCCAGAGAAGTCTTCAGCGGCAGTGATCAACAAGATGGCCGGGGTGCCCCTCCAAGGGAGATCAAAAGACAGGAGTCAAACAATAGAAGAAGCCCTGAAGACTGGGACGCACAGGTGGAGAGCAGAGAGTGGCATAGCAGTGACCTGCGAGAGAACCGGGGAGAGGATACTGTAAAAGAAGCACGGCCCAGTGGAGAGCCAAGAAAGACAGCATGGGATCCACCAGAAAGTACCACCAAAGATACAAAGGCTGTAACCCAACCACCGGGTAAGCAGTGGTTATACCTCCAAAGCTCACAACTCTAAGACCAGAGCGCGAAATGAGACCAAAAAAGAGACAAAATGTCCTAACACAATCAATTTTGTTCTGCCATTACCATCTTTTGATGTGCCATTATATAAAAGCTAGAGTTGTAACATGCAGCCTCAGGGTCCTACCGGAACTGCACACGCAGCCGCATTGAGCAATCCTTGTTCGGGCGCAGGTCACAACAATTTTTTTTTTTAGTTTACGCCATCGGGCAGGCCATGTCATAAATTTGCTTGCTCGATTGGATCAACTCTTGCTAAAGATTTCTCAGAATCCACGATTATTGTTATTTAAGTAAGGCCTACAGCATACATGCAGTCTTCTATTAGGCCAAAAAATACATGATGTAGTTGTGCTGTGCATGCCTCTCAAAAATTGGGTCGGTAGGTCAGAACTTTTTTTTTGTCTGAGGGCAATTTTGTGCTGATTAAATGGCATCATTGGGGGCGACAGCCTCTAAAAGTATCTCCAAAAGTGATGAACACCTGTCTTATCTATGTAAAAATTTCTACATTCGGCAATTCACAAGAAAACTATGAACAATTCACACAATCATGACAGCAAACTGGCCAACAATGTCCGTGCATCATGTGGTAAGCCTGCATGATGCATCTAGGCCAGCAGGCACTAAACCTTGTGCCATGAGCAGAACAACCTCAAATTACACTCGTGAACACAGAAAATACATACATAAATAAGAGAACAAGTTCTGTGTATTAACTTGCAGAAAACCTCTTGCAACATAACATCGATGTCTTTCCGGCCTGCAGCCTTTTGCATTCGCGATGTGTACGGCCGATGAGTGTTTATGTATAGTGCATTCAGTACATGCACAGTACAGACTGGTACTGGTCGCTCTGTTTCCATCACCTATTCTTTACCATGGGTGCGGCGCGGCGTGAATCAGAGAAGCTTTGTTTAATGAACAGAGTTTCGCGCACGTGTTTTCACCACTGTGAGAGCGCAAAGTATTATTGGGCGATGTCATGTCTGTGCAAGTAAAGTATATACACACGTGGTGCTAGGTGACATGGGCCGGTGATGAGCAATCAGCCCTGATGAATACCTTGGGCGTAATTAACGTAATTCACAAAACTAATAATAAATCAGATGCCATAATCCCATATATTATGTTGATATTTCAAGAGCTGTTATTGATATTTTGTTCGGACAATTTATCTGAGCATTTTTGATTTTGTTCAGACAAACACAATAAGTGCTCAGAAAATGTCCAATGTCCGACCGTAATTTCACGCTCTGTAAGACTGATGTGGTATAGGTAAAAGAGTAGGAAACAAATTCAAGATAGCAAAAATGTACTTGATGGAAAGCATGTATGAGGGTTATTACAAAAGCTATTTGTGCAAACTGCTTCAAATTGGCAGTGATGCTATGTTGTCATTTGTTTCAAATGATAAAAGTTGGGAATAAGAATATCTTGCTTGTACCTCTGGTTGTGTCTGCATTGGAACTCCTCAGAACTTCTTGAGTCTTTTCCCATCGTGTTTTTGAGAGGAACTGTTGATGAAATTATTCTTATGTAGTGTTTATGTAGTTTGTTTTTTTGCTGATTCAGTCCAAGTTTGCAAGTAAATATTTGAGTTGTTGAAATGTCTTTATATTCACATGAATCATCGGTACCAAAAGTATAGTTTTCAATTACAGCACAGTGTATTCATATCACTTTTTTGGACAAGGTGCATATCCACAACCTGCAAGACAAGGAGAAGGAAGAACAGATAATCAAGATGGCCGGCAAATCCTAGAAATCAGAACAATACCATCATCTGTCCCTGACAAGCCCCACCCAATTCCTCTAATGGAAACCCAACCACAACCCCACTTTGAGAGAAGATACCCTGATACAGTTAGGAGGTACGATCCTCGGTCCAGTGGCAGTGGGCGGGATCCCCGTCAGTCCCAACATCCCAATAGATCCAGACAGGAATCTGAAATGGACAGATATGACAATAGAGCCCCAAGCAAGGGGGACAGTGCAAAACAAATCCATGAACAACAGAGAAGTAGTTCTGAACTAAAGGAGCCTGTGATTCAACAGGGTGGACGTCAAGCTGAAGAGCAACCATTGAAAGAGCACCAGTCAAATACTGATACCCATGTCAAATCAGGAGAAAAGTTGAAAGAGGGATCATCAGAAAAGCTGCGGCTGGTACCTTCAGACTCTACCAGTGGGCAGCCCAAAGCTTGGTCTCAGTCCAATAAGTATCAGGATGACAGCCAACGCAAAGGCAGTGACAGTAAGGAGACAGGTCACCGGGACCGAAGAGACAGGATCAGTTCCAGTGGACATCAGGAATCCTCTGAAGGCAGATCAAGAAATGACCAGGAGTCAAGCAAAAAACAGGATGCAGTGGCTGATCTGGGTAAAAAGCCAGTGCACCACAAAGAACCCACAGAGAAGAAGAGGTGGCATGATACCCCAAAGTCAGTCACTTCCACTACTGAGCAGAAAAAGGAGGAGTCTACAAGGCCTGAAACAGCAACTACAGGCTTGGCTGATGTCAAGGATAAAAGTGGTTCTGACAAAAATGATAAAAAGAGTGATTCTGGTTCAGTGTCTGACAAATCCTCAGTTGATACTATTGAGAGCAAAAGTAGCAAAGATGCAAAGGACATTACTGTAGACAAGAGTAGAGAGTCAACCAGACAAAGGTCAAACAGACGAGATAGGTCCGAGAGATCGGACAGATCAATCAGATCAGACCGGCCTAACAGAAGAGATAGGGGAGAGAGATCAGACAGACCTGCACGAGGAAGGAGAGATGGGCTTGCTTTTGATAGGAGAGATGCAAAAGGTCGTGGTACTAGGGTGGATTCGGGTCGTAGCAGAGGTCGTAGCTCAAGACCCTATGGGTCCGGCTATTCAAAAGGAAGAGGCGAGTGCCGCTATAAGCCATATGATGGCCGGCGAGTGACCCCAAGTGAGGATTTAGAAGAAGTTGAAATGCTCCATTTAGAAACTGTTAATGAGGCTGCCCCAGCTAAAGAAGTCATTTTAAACCAAGGTCCAAAAGACAAAGAAACAGTGGAAAAGAAAGGAGTTGCTGTGAGTGAAGATGGAATTCTGAAGGAGAGCCAGTCAGAAGGGAGTGTATTGAAAAATGGAGAAAAACAAGGCTTTGTGCCACGAGGAGAGCCCTCTAGAAGAGGCAGGGGCCGGGGAGGCTCCAGTAGTGGTAGAGGGAGAGGAGGATCACAGAGTAGGAGTGCAAGTTCTGTACAGACAGGAAGAGATCCACGGAGGGAACGAGATGGCTACAGGGGTCGAGATTTCAAAGGTAAGGACAGTGACCTGGAATGGGATGGAGACCGGGAAAGGGATAACAGGGAGCCAAGACGGGAAAGCAGCAGAAGAGATGATGGCGTCTTTGATAAGAAACCTCAAAGAGACCTGTATGAGCGAAGTGACTCTCGGAGGGGGAAATCTGCCAGAGGTTCTCGACCAGAGACAAGACTACGCCCAGAGCGTCCACCCAGATTCCAGAATGCAAGGGGACGGGGAAGAGGGCGTGGGGGGCGTGAACCCAGAGGTCGTGGTGGATCTGTCAAGAGCCCAGTACCAAGGATAAGCAGCAGCAGTGAAGGAGCAATCACATCTGCCCCCAGCAAGCCAGCCCTGACAAAGCAGAACTCCTCTGATCAGAACAATGAGGAGTGGGAGACAGCCTCGGAGAGCAGTGACTTCAATGAGAAACGGGAGAAGACAGAAGAAAAGAAGGAAAAGCCATCGCAGGAAGCCTGGACAGGGTCAAAGGAGAATATCCAAGGCAACCATAGCAGCAATAATAGTATCAGTGGAGGATCAGGTGCCAAAAAAGGTCCAACTGGGCAGCGAGCAACCGGGGATAGATTTTACAGGAGCAGTGGACGTACTGAACCAGGTAAAATTATCATGTTTTGTAATTCGGTGCTGATAAAAACAAAAGTTTTAATTGGTTATGTGCAATATTTGTAACACAACAGAACAAAAAAGAAAAAAATTGGTCTTGCAATGTTTGTCACTTTTGTTGAAGTGATAAGTGAAGAAGAAAGACTTGTACCCCTGGGCCAGTGATATTTAGCATATTATTCGTGTTAGGATGTCACTCCTGCAGTTAATTTTTTTAACTTGAGGGAGTATAAAGAAAGGTTTCTGCTCGGGGTTTCACTTTGCCTACTCGGATTATTCTCCCCAGAGGGTGTAGGTTTGAGGGTCCCAAAACTAGGAATGTTTGTGTTTCAGTCACATTATGAACTGGAACAAGGTGTTCATGATTTTCATATTTACACATTGATTAATATCCTTTAAGGGAAATGTTCTTAGTTTGAGTGGCTTTCATCTTGTTGAAACATTTCAACAGTGTAGAGCAGGACTTGACCATGGGAGTAGCTCTGAGAAAAGAGCATTATTCTCATTGCACAGATGGACATGAAGCCACAGGGAAAAGTGGGAGTCACCAACATGATGGAAGTCGTGGCTCATCATCCCGGGGAGGCAGTTCATCAGGTAGTCGCACAGCGGACCGGAGGGTTCCTGGGAATGGAAGCAGTAGCAGTAGTGGCAGCTCCAGTAAGAGAAAGTCTGCAGGTAAAGGTGGGTCTGTGTCTTCCCAGCGGAAGCCAGACGGCAGACCAGGGAGAGAAGAGAAGGTGTACAGGGTGGATAGTGTGCAGCTGAAAGATCCAGCTGCTGTGAAGGTACCTAACCTATTTGTTCCGTATTTCATTTTGTACAATTGACCTAGTTCTACACATGAAAGGACTTTGTGGGTTACAACATACAAGAAAAGAATTGTAAGCATGTCAGCTTTGTAGTTTTGTTCACAGTTTTGGCGATTATGATATTTATTTTGGGTGTGGCTCGTCCATGTGTAATGACCGTTTTTGCCTTGGCCTCATTCAGGTGAAACTGATCAGTATTGATTGTGCAAAATGTATAATATATGTAAATTTTGACTGCTCTGAGTGGTGTAGTAAACCAGCCTCCCGAGGTGATCCATGGAGAATTTCCTGTGGCGAAGCTGAGGGAAAATGGAATGCTCTCCATGGATGACCGAGGCAGCTAGTTTTACAACACCATGAGATAAAGCAGTTTATATTTATTTTGTAACACTTTACCCTAGATTTTGCTTGATTTAAGCTGTAACTGATTGCTGTGATCTAACCACATATGACGTGCATTTATTTGAAAAGAAAGTTGTTGAAAATTTCCAGCACTTTCCCAAACAACCTTTTCACAAAACATTTGAACCCAGCTCTGTAGCGCATGTGCTTTGGAATGTTCGTGATGCGCTATGCACACTGAAGTATGCACTTGCACACGATGCCAGTTATCATTAGTATAGTGCTTTGGTTGCTACAGATATAAATAGTTCGCGGTACCCGCTGCTTCATTTGACTCGGATCGG